AGGCGCCCCTAAACTTTTGTTTAAAAAAAAAAAAAAGCCTGAGGTCTTTCATACCTATTTAAGCATTTTTGTGTTAGTCCTTTCTAAGCGAAAGACAGCTGCAAAGTTAAACTTCCTGCCATAACAATGTTTGGAGTTCAACATTTCATGGCAGACAGGACAGTAAGTCCTGCTGTGTATACATTTTTATACTTGTTTCACCCTTGTCTATTCTCTCTGGTCCTAGCTGAGCCCAAAGGGTGGGCTTTTCCAGTTGTCAGCATTTTACTCTCTATGGTTGCATTGGGTTGCTTTGGGGTATCAGCTCCTGGTGCTTACGCATCTGTTTCCTGCTGTCTGTTCCTCAGGGACACTATGTGGCGCATCTTTACTGGATCATTGCTAGTGGAGGAGAAGTCAAGTGCCCTTCTGCATGACCTTCGAGAGATTGAGGCCTGGATCTATCGATTGCTGCGCTCCCCAGTGCCTGTTTCTGGGCAGAAGCGAGTAGACATTGAAGTCCTACCCCAGGAGCTCCAACAAGCTCTGACCTTTGCTCTTCCAGACCCTTCTCGATTCACCCTAGTGGATTTCCCACTGCACCTTCCCTTGGAACTTCTGGGTGTGGATGCCTGTCTTCAGGTGCTAACCTGCATCCTGTTAGAGCACAAGGTGAGAGAGCCAGCTTTTTAGATCTTTAAGGACAGGGACTACAGCTTTTTCATCTTTTTGTCTCTAGGAGGTAACATGGTGCCAGGTATACGGCAGTACTCAGTAGATGTGGGTTGAATTAAGTGGGATGTGTTCAGAGGATTTGCCACACAGGTGAATTATCCTTAGCTAGACTGAACTAATTCTCTGGAAGTATCAGTAGTTCTAGTCTAATGAGTGGTCCTGGCATTGGGCAAACAAGAGCCAGAAAAGTAAGGCATGAGGCAGGGATAATTGTGGAAGCCATGCTCATGGAGCCCTACACATGGTGAAATGGAAATTAAATTGTAGCATTGGAAACTTTCCCCATAAACCTTATTTAGGCTGTTGAATGATCCTTATGGTATGGCTTGTGGCAGGTGGTGCTACAGTCCCGAGACTACAATGCCCTTTCCATGTCTGTGATGGCGTTTGTGGCGATGATCTACCCATTGGAGTATATGTTTCCTGTAATCCCACTGTTGCCCACCTGCATGGCATCGGCAGAACAGGTGAGTTTCAGGTGTTTTCTGGCTTTGTCACCTCTGTCTTCCAACTCTGGCCAGCTCTGAGGGAGAACGCCCGATGCCAAGAAGTTGTAAATCAATACTGGTCTTCAATCCTTTACTCTAACTTCTTTGTCTGCAAAACATGACCTAACTTTGAACTGATTTGATGGCAAAACTTGTGTTATTTGTGGTTTTTATTTATCAAAGTAAATGTTAATCATTATAGGTTACTGGCCATGCTCCTGCAGGTGTTACATAATATACAGAATATACACTGTTGCCTTTCTAAAATCTGAAGAACTATGAATACTAAAACACACCTAGCCTCAAGAGTTTTGGAAAAGAGATTATGGACCTGCATTTCCTCATCAAGAAAAATCCTCATGTGATAAGTGATCGAAATATGTTTAGTTTTTGTTTCTTACCCTCTTATTTTTTTTCTACAGCTACTGTTGGCTCCAACTCCGTACATCATTGGGGTCCCTGCCAGCTTCTTCCTCTACAAACTGGACTTCAAAATGCCTGATGATGTATGGCTGGTGGATCTGGACAGCAATAGGGTGAGGTTCTTGGCTGAGATATTGTAGAGTCCAGAATAGGATTGTGTTCTGTTTTTCTAGATTATTCCCAAGAAGGTCCTCAGTTGGTGGGTGATTTGTCTTGTGTGACTCATTGATACCATTTTTTTTTTTAATGCTTAGCTTTTACTTTATTGGCTAATAGGCCCTTGGTTAAGACCCAAACGAGTACAAGATTTAGTTTTGCCAGAATGAAGTGCTCCCCTGCATCTAGAAGCAGTAGGCAGTTGTGGTTTTGGGACCACTGCCTATGGTGTAGGTCATCTCATGGTTTTCCTGGGTATGGTTTCTAGTAAGACAGTGCCTTTCAGGCTTAAAATGTACAGTAATATTCTGTAGTGTGAATATACTCAAATTTCAGCAGGAAGCCCTTATATCTGTTTATAGTAAAAGTTTAGAAAATACAAATAAGTGTAAAGAAATAAATAAAAACCAGGGGCATCTGAGTGGCTGTCGGGTAAGGGTCCAACTCTTGATTTTGGCTCAGGTGATGATCTCACGGTTCATGGGTTTGAGCCTTGCTTTGGGCTTCATGCTAACATTGTGGAGTCTGCTTGGAATATTCTCTCTCTCTCTCTCTCTCTCTCTCTCTCTCTCTCTCTCCCCCTCCCCACTCTCTCTCTCTGACTCTTCCCCTCCCACATGTGCACACTCGCTCTCTCAAAATAAACTTTGAAAAAAAAAAAAAGAAAGAAAAACCATAGTCCTATTGTCTGGATGTAGTCTCCAGTAACATTGAGGTATATTTCTTTTCAGGTGTGTATGTATATCACAGCCGTGTATATGTGTGCCCCTAATACACGTGTATATGTAATATATTTGTATGCATAATAGACATGTTCACATATATGTGAAAATACTGTGTATACATCTTCCACTTAACCCTTACGTAAGAGTAACTCCTGAGCGATTAATTCTAAGGTCGTGCCTTTTGTCTTTTTTCTGGTGCAGGTGATTGCCCCCACCAATGCAGAAGTGCTACCAATCCTGCCAGAACCGGAATCATTGGAGCTGAAAAAGCATCTGAAGCAGGTGAGTGAAGAATGAAGAGGAAGAGGAGCGGTAGCTACTCCCGAGTGGCTGCAGAGGCTGTAGCTGTTGTGAGAGCCCGTTTCCCTTCGGACCTCAGGTGGAATAGGTTTTCTTAGCCTCAGGTGGGCTTAAGAAGAGGTGTATCACATTTCTGGGTGGCAGGATGACTCTCAAAAAGGCTATTAGATATCTTCTAATTCATTGTATGCCTCCCACCCTCTAATACTTAGAATACTATATATATATATTAAAAAAAAAAAAACAACCTTCATTTTCTGTTTCTTGTCATGTGTACCGTTCTTTGTGGCTTAGAGTGGTCTCTCAGTCCTGTAAGGAAAGAACTAGTTGTTTGGATAGTCTGGCTCCTTTTATATTTTCCTCCTGAATTGACCTCTAGGTCCCTGAAGAATGCTTTCTTCAAAAATTCCTCTCTTTGAATAATCTCTTAAATACATTTTTTCATTGCTTTTCTTCCTCTCCTGCATGCTGAACAAAGTACCTGAAGGTAAAATATGACAAGGCCCCATCCCTTTGCCCTGTTGTATGTGTTATGTAGGACCATCAGTAGATAGCTCCGTATTTATTTTTAGGAATCCTTGTTGTCATCTTCAGGGTCTTCAGGAATCTCTGTGTTGTCTTAGTTGCTAAGCAGTACCTCTGCTTGGTGTAAATGGGTCATTTTGTAGCATCCCTCTCATCATCCCTGCTGATGTAATATGGTGTCTTGTTACTGCAGAGTCTGTGAGGATTGCAAGTTGAGAAAGTTCTCTGTCTTCCTTTGCCGTGTTTTCATTCTTGATGGTTACTTAGGTATGACTAATGAGATGGAGAGGTTGATATATAGAATGGTACTTTAAATGTTGGTAGGAGTTAAGATCCTTGGGTTCCTTAATCCTGTGTCCTTCCCCCCTGCTACTTGAAGTGTGGTCCATGGACCAGCAGTGTTACTTTTGCCTGCGGTTGTTAAAAGTGCAGAATCACCCCAGATATATTGAACCAGAAAAATCTGCATTTTTAACAACATTCCTGATGATTCCAATGCTCATGAGTATTTAAGGAAGCCCTGCTGGTCTAGACCAGTGGTTTTCAAACTGCCCCATGGAGCCTCATAGGGGCTGATTTAGGCTGGTAACACTGAGCACATGAGGTTCTGGGTTCCTTATGTCCTTCAGAGAAGCTTTACTTTTACGTGTCTCAGTTGTTTATATTTTCATACAGATTTCAACATGTTGTTGAAAAAGAACATTTCATGGCTAAAATCAATTTGAAAATTATTGCCCTGGACTTCAGATCTGATCAGGTTGCCTTGAACCAACCTGGCTTAAACTGCAAGGCTACATAATTCAGATCATCTTCTAAAGGTTAAAGTACGGTATTTGGATTCTGATTTCAAAGATTAAGGCTCTTTCCTAGGAGATGAGATTGGCCAGCTGCCCAGGAATCTGCCTTCTATAGGGGATTTCTTGTTGTTCCACAGGCCCTTGCCAGCATGAGTCTCAACACCCAGCCCATCCTCAATCTGGAGAAATTCCATGAAGGCCAAGAGATCCCCCTTCTCTTGGGAAGGCCCTCTAACGACTTGCAGTCCACACCTTCCACTGAATTCAACCCACTCATTTATGGCAATGATGTAGATTCTGTGGATGTCGCAACCAGGTACGACCAAGTCGACTAGACCATCACAGGTGCCTAGATTGGGTTCTGCTCTCTCATTAGGTATATTTGTCACCTTAGTAAAAGCAAAGAAGAATTAATTCATCGTACTCTCAGGCGTTTTAGGCCTTGAGTGAAGAAAGAGATTGATGATTCTTTAAGATCCCTTCCCCTTTGATGTTGGAAGCCTGTGAAATGATGACTTGGGGAGGTGGTCTGACACCTTGGATCATAGGAATCCTTCTAGCGCAGGGTGTGGGACTTGAATTATCTCACCATCCCCTTCTTCCCCAGAGTGGCCATGGTCCGCTTCTTCAACTCCCCCAACGTGCTGCAGGGTTTTCAGATGCACACACGTACCCTGCGCCTCTTCCCTCGGCCTGTGGTAGCTTTTCAAGCTGGCTCCTTTCTAGCCTCACGTCCCCGACAGACTCCTTTTGCTGAGAAGCTGGCCAGGACTCAGGCTGTGGAGTACTTTGGCGAATGGGTCCTTAACCCGACCAACTATGCCTTCCAGCGAATTCACAACAGTGAGTCCACTTGCCCCTGCGTCTTTGTCCTCCTGATGGCTCTTCCCTTTGCTTTTCCCTTTTCTCATCTTTGATCTGCCCCTTCCATTCCTATTTTGCTTTAGACGTTTCCCTGCCTTTCTTCTATGTTTTGCTTGTTTTTTTTTCCTCCTTGTTGCTAACTCTATTCTTTTTTTCTCTGTGGGTAGATATGTTTGATCCAGCCCTGATTGGTGACAAGCCAAAGTGGTATGCCCATCAGCTGCAGCCTATCCATTATCGAGTCTATGATAGCAATTCCCAGCTGGCGGAGGCACTGAGTGTGCCACCAGAGCGTGACTCTGACTCGGACCCTACTGATGACAGGTGAGCAGCAGCAAAACCGCTTTTTAAGGTCGAGAGGCTCTCGCTAGTCCTTATTGAGCACTATGGCAGAACCTCATAGGACTTAAACATTAGTGTTTGAAGCCTTGATGATATTTTGGTTGATTGTTTTGTGTTAGCTTCCTTATTTTATCTTGTTCCCTGACCTTAAGAGTTTTCCTCTTTTTTTTTTTAAGTTTTTAATTTTAATTCCAATATAGTTAGCACACAGTGTTATGTTAGTTTCAGGTGTACAATACGGTGATCCAGCAATTCTCACATTAGCCAGTGCTCCTCATGATAAGTGTAGTCTTTAATCCCATCACTTATTTCATTCGTCCCCCCATCCACCTCCCCTCCAGTAGCCAAGTGTGCTCTATATTGTTAAGAGTCTCTTTCTTGGTTTGTCTCTCTCTTTTTTCTTTTGTTCGATTACTTTGTTTCTTAAATTCCACATGTAAGTGAAATCATATGGTATTTGTCTTTCTCTGACTTTGCTTAGCAAAATACACTCTAGCTCCATCCATGTTGTTGCAAATGGCAAGATTTCATTCTTTTTTATGGCTGAGTAATAGTCCAGTGTGTGTGTGTGTGTGTGTGTGTGTGTGTGTGTGTGTGTGTGTGTATGAGAATGCTCCCCTTTTTTTTTTCCTAATGCTGATTGCTGGTACTTTTCCTGCCCCTTCATTCTGTTTTATTTTTATTTTTATTTTTATTTTTGTGTTCTTCACTCTGCAGTGGCAGTGATAGCATGGATTATGATGACTCAAGCTCTTCTTACTCCTCCCTTGGTGACTTTGTCAGTGAAATGATGAAATGTGACATCAATGGTGATACCCCTAGTAAGTGTACTTGAGAAGATGGGCCAGCTCTGGGAGGGGTTGGAGGCTCTGGGATGGTGTGGTCTGTACCTGCCACCTTGGGTTTTGGCAGATGTAGATCCATTGACGCATGCAGCCCTGGGGGATGCCAGTGAGGTGGAGATTGCTGAGCTGCAGAACCAGAAGGAATCAGAGGAACCTGGCCCAGACAGCGAGAACCCTCAGGAAAACCCCCCGCTGCGCTCCAGCTCCAGCACCACCGCCAGCAGTAGCCCCAGCACCGTCGTCCATGGAGCTAATTCTGTACGTGAGGACTTGGAAGGGCGGATAAGTGAGAACTGTTACTTATGTGGGTCATACCTCCATTAGGAAGGCGAGGCTGAAGCTGTTAATTTGCCTCTTCATAGTCTTCCTGTCTTCCTCTCTATACATCCCATAGCTTAGAGCCTAAGAGACGTAGTTTTGACTCCAGAAGGAACTCATCGGGCTTTGTTCAGGGCTTAGCTAAGGTCCCCTTTGCATGGTTTGTGGGGACAGAGAGCAGGAGTGTCATAGAGATCTTTTCTCACACATTCCCTTAGGATAGGAGATGGGAATCTAATAGACCTGGCTTGGCCTTGCCAAACTGAGGTAGGTAGGTATCACTGGGCACCAGGTGACCAGTTTTTATTTAATATGGCCTTTAGGAACCTGCTGACTCAACGGAGGTGGACGATAAGGCAGCAGTAGGCGTTTCCAAGCCCCTCCCTACCACGCCTCCCAGCATTGGCAAATCGACCGCGGACAGGCGTCAGACAGAAATTGGAGAGGGGTCAGTGCGCCGGCGAACCTATGACAATCCATACTTCGAGCCCCAATATGGCTTTCCCCCTGAGGAAGATGATGATGAGCAGGGGGAAAGTTACACTCCCCGATTCAGCCAACATGTCAATGGCAATCGGTGAGAGCCTGGGGATTCCTTCTAGGTGGGTGACTGAAGGACCTCACCACAGAGGACCCCGGGTGAGGGTTAATCAGAAAGAGAAGTCTGAATGTTCTTGTGACCCGCCATCCCATGGTGGTGCCTTGATCTAGGCATATAGAAATTGTGGGAAGGGAGCAGTGACTGCAGTGTAGCATAGGGCCCACACTTCCAAGAGTAGGTACCCCTGCTTGGGGCTCATAGGTGCCACTGTGCATTCAAGGGCTCAAAAGCTGCTGCGGCCCAACAGCTTGAAACTGGCAAGCGACTCAGACGCAGAATCAGACTCTCGAGCGAGCTCTCCCACCTCCACCGTCTCCAACAACAGCACCGAGGGCTTCGGGGGCATCATGTCTTTTGCCAGTAAGTGCCTTCTGCTCTCGTGCCTCTGTCCCGTTTTCTATGCAGTGGGGCCTGACTATGGTGGATGCTGCTTAGAACTTCAGAGGTAGAACTGGGTTGGCATTATCAAGCCCCAGTTCAGGTTGTTGCGGTGATAGTGAATAAGGTATTTCCAAGGGAAGTCAATAAAGGACAGAGACAGAGTAGTCACTATCTTTATACCCAGAGATTTCAGTCTGTTTCGGGTAAGACAGCTGGTCAACTGAAAGATAGTCATTATATTAAAAATCATACACTTGTACATATATCTTGTGGAAATATTCTGGTCATATTTGATTTGGGTACATATCTAATACCTTTTTTGCCTGGTGAAAGACTTTTTCATGAACATGCTTTGAAATCTATATGAGGTGACTTTTGTGCCTAGAGAATATTTCCAGAAATGAGGGGTGGTATCAGTTAAAGGTTGAGGACAGCCCAGGGGCCAGAGAAAGCCAACATTGGGTATAATTATGATTGTGAGTTTTTCTCAGAAGCCAGACAGGGACAGCACCAACTTTTGACCAAAAGTGCATTAACTGTCTGGCTTTCATGCTGAGTTAGCAGTTGATGGGACACTTGTCCGTCCCCATGGGAGGTAGTCAGAGAAAGTTCTTACTGGGTTTTGAGCTATCCTGACAGTGGCCCCCATGTTTGCCCTGAATTAGACTTGGTCCTCTCTAAGGTAGATCAGAGGTACTGGGATTATGTTTGAAAAGGAGAAAGACGGAGATGATGATATACTTATGCTCCTAACTCCTCGCTCTCACACCCTCCCCTTGATAGGCAGCCTATATCGGAACCACAGTACAAGCTTCAGCCTTTCAAACCTCACGCTGCCCACCAAAGGTGCCCGAGAGAAGACCACACCCTTCCCCAGTCTGAAAGGTAACTACAGCCCTCCTTCTGCCATACCAGGATTCTCCAGAAGATATTTCAGGCCTACGGGTGCTTGTCAGGAGCCCTGCGTATGACGAATCATTTGATCTGGCTGTTGCCCCTCATACCGCTTCTCATGGCTTTCATTGCACATTATGGGCTCTACTCGTTTTCAGATGGAAAGTGTCTTTGTAGCTGAAGAGACGGCCCTGTCGTATCATTTAGGATAATAGCAACTGAGATCACCGCTGCTTCTTAGGGGGAGCTTTGTCAGGTGTACATAATTAACACAGGGATCGTCAGCTGCTGCCAGTGATCTGCCAGGTTCCTGTTGCATGAATGTAGGACAAGCTTCATCCCGATTAGCTGGCCCACTGAGGGATGCTCATAGAGAGCCTGGCAGTGTTACAGCGTCAGGAAGCCTCTTTGGCTTCCTGTCAACGTAGGGCCTGTGGGTGGGCCAGGTAGTATCGGTTGGCTTCTCTGGGCATTTAAGGCCTTATTTGATTTTCATTTGTGATCGCTGAGAGTTTGAAGAGCTCTTCTGCATTTACTCTGACTTTTGTTTGTTTTCTCTAGATATTGTGCTGAACTATTTAATTACAGTAGAAAGCATAGTGAGAAGCAGCTCCATATATTTTTCACCTGACTTCTCTTCCCAGTGATTAAAAATCCCAGGAATCTAAGGAGTGTTCTTTGGTGGGGCTGGGAACATAGGATAGATGGGCAGAGGGACAGAATAGCTAGTGGCGTAGGGGATTAACTAGCACTGTGGCGTAAATCTGCACCTGACTCTAGGTTAGGGGTAGAAAAGTGTTAGCGTCACCGGCTTTCATTTGATACAGTTGGGGAGGGGAGCAATTGAAGCGCTTTCATTGCATGCTGATGCTTCATTTGTGCACTTCCCACTCCCATCCACCTCCCATCCTCACACCCCAACCCCACGTCCCATGACAGCATCTGCAAGATGGGTCTCCTCTCTCTGCATACCAGCAAGCCCTGTGGACCCTGTGCTAGATGTTTCATGAAAACCAGCAGTCCTTCTTTCATGCATGTGCCTGTTTAGTACCCGAAGGTCCCTTGTGTCATGTACCCTGCCCCTGGCTCTGAGAGGCCATAGTCTTAAGAATGGTCTTTCCTAGAGCCTTGGTTGATTCCTGATCTCTTGGCTTCCAGCTCTGAGGTGCCTGAGAACTAAGGTTATGTGCACTAAGCTTTGGGAGAATCCTCAGACTATCTGACTTACAGCTCCATCGAGGGATATAGGGGTTGTGGTATCATGGTGCACCTACTAATTGTGTATTTTGTGTCCCAGTATTTGGGCTAAATACTCTAATGGAGATTGTTACTGAAGCCGGCCCCGGGAGTGGTGAAGGTGGGTCTTGCCCGTGAGCTGTGCATGATCTTTTTTTCCTAGCATCTTCTGTGCCTGCCTGAGGGCCATCCTCCTCATGGAGCAAGCGGTACCACATGGGTGACCTGCCTTGCCCTGTCCCCCGTGACGCCCGTGCTTGCCCGTGGGGCATGCTGCTGGTGCATGTGGAGTGGCCTGAGTCTCATCCCCACTTCCTCCACATTGCCATGGCTGGTTTCTACCTATGTGTGATGCCCTGGGGTCACCCTCACCCGGCCCTTCTGGGGAACGGGTGTGGAACGTGGCTTCCCAGGGCTGTGCTGACAAGGCTGCTGGACTACAGTAGTGATGTCTCTCATTCCTACCTTCCTGGCTATAGGAAACAGGAGGGCCTTAGTGGACCAGAAGTCATCTGTTATTAAACACAGCCCAACAGTGAAAAGAGAGCCTCCATCACCTCAGGGTCGATCCAGCAATTCTAGGTAATCCATGGCTGAGCTATTACAAAAGATCTCTGATAGAGGTAGCGATTCCTGTACCACACTGTAGGGAGGCTCAGGAGTGGGAGAGAACCTGTCAGTTGGGTGATGAAATCAATTCTTGGGAGCCCTGCGCATTCTGACTTCCCATGCAACAGTAGTAGCTCACCCTGGTGAGAAGAATAAAACAGCAGTGGTGGGTATGTGGGCACACCAGGCGATCCGGAGCGGTGGGGGGTGCAGGGGACTTGCACCCCTGGAGACTTGGCTTTGCGTTTTGCCCCTGGAGGCAAACATCTAGTCTGGTGAAAGAGGCGGGGTGCTCTGCAAAGAAGCCGATGACCACAGAAGCTGTGTGTGGACCCCGTAGTGAGAACCAGCAGTTCCTGAAGGAGGTGGTGCACAGTGTGCTGGACGGCCAGGGCGTTGGCTGGCTCAACATGAAAAAGGTGCGCCGGCTGCTGGAGAGTGAGCAGCTGCGCGTCTTTGTCCTGAGCAAGCTGAACCGCACAGTGCAGTCGGAGGACGACGCCCGGCAAGACGTCATCCCTGATGTGGTCAGTGTCTGGGGTGAGGAGCTGGAATCAACTGCCGGAGGGACCTGGACCCCGAAGGCAATTTTGCCCACTCCAGCCCCTGGGTTATTGTTGCAGGAGGTCAGTCGAAAGGTGTACAAGGGGATGCTAGACCTGCTCAAGTGCACGGTGCTCAGCCTGGAGCAGTCCTATGCCCACGCGGGCCTGGGAGGCATGGCCAGCACCTTTGGGCTTCTGGAGATTGCCCAGACCCACTACTACAGTAAAGGTAGGGATCGCACCAGCTGGGCGGGCGCTGTCCACAACTCTTCCACTCATCTCCAAAGAAGGCTTGTTTCTTCACAGGTTTCCCAGTGCCAGGCTGTTTCCCCTCAGGCTTCGGGGTTTCCTTTTTTAATGCGTGTTTATACATACCAGGTGTTTTTCTGTCATGAAAAATAAGATGTCTGTTTTTCTTTCCTTGCACTTTTTCCATTCTGCATCCTCCTTGCTTCTCCCACCTCGTTCCCGCAGCTTGATTCCCACTCGTTGTGTCTCTTGACCTCTTCCTGTATTCCCTCTTTTCCTAGAACCAGACAAGCGGAAGAGAAGTCCAACAGAGAGCGTAAATACACCAGTTGGCAAGGATCCTGGCCTGGCTGGGCGGGGGGACCCAAAGGCTATGGCACAGCTGAGAGTTCCCCAGCTAGGACCTCGGGCACCAAGTGCTGCAGGAAAGGGTCCTAAAGAGCTAGACACCAGAAGTTTAAAGGAAGAGAATTTTGTAGCGTCTATTGGTATGTATCACCGTGTTTGGTGTGGTGGAGGGTTCGGGCTTCTAAAATACCTCTCCCTCCTTTCAATTCATTCAGAATCCTGCCTTTCTTTTCCCCATGCTTTGCTTTCTAGAGAGGGAGATAGATCTGCATCCATTTCTAATGGAATTTCTTTGTACTTCTTTATCGCTTATGCTTCCTTTACAGGCACCCCCACCTACATCGCAGAGGAAGAATGGAAGTTTTGCTTCGAGGGGCCAGTGAGGCTTAGTGCAGGGAGTCTGAGCTATATTCCTTGTCCCGCTTTTTATTTACATCTGGATTTCTTCAGATGTGAGGTCCAGGAAGCTATAAGAAAGTTTATAGATGCGTCTTTGGCCTATAAAATTATAATTGTCCGGCCAGTTTTCTCCCATCCAACCATTATACTACCCTCAAATTTGCTTTCCTGGGGTGTGTCCAGCAACCCCATTTCCCTGGGCGCTGGACCTCAAGGTATAGATTTCTGAATCGGCTTTTCTTCAAACCTTTTCTCACTGGACTCGACCAAGAGCTTGTTTACGTTTGGTGTCTCTCTGTTCCCACTGAGGCAATGCCTTAGTGAGCTCTCTGGGTGTCACCTCCATTTGACTCACTTGACCTAGAGCCATCTAGGCTGTGTCTTTCTTTTTCTGGTTCTGTTTCCCTGGGCAGTTTGCTTCTAGCTGATGCTTCTTTGCCACACCATTAGCAGTTGTCTCATGCTCCCAAAAGTGGGGAGGAGGAACCAGTTTCCTTTGTTGGGGAACTGCACTTCTCTAGCCAGCAGAATAGTGTCCTAGACGCAGCCAACCCAGTCTTTCTCCCACATGATGCGATGCTCTAGGAAAAGCACCAGCCTGCAAGTCTGGAGGTCCGGAGTTTTAGTCCTGTATCTGCCCCCCAGCTAGGAATGAAACTTTGGGCAAAGCACTTCCTCTTTTCAGGGTCTCTGTCTCCTCATCTGGGAAATGAAGAGATTGGACTAAGTAGGCACTCAAGTTCTTCCAGGAAAGGAATGCTATGATCAGTATTCTCTCTTCTTTACCCTAATGAAGATCCTATTCTTGACCATTTAGTGTTCTCTGTCACCTTTACTGAAAGCATTTTTCCAGGTGACTAGCTGAGAACGGGTCACTTGGCAGGGCAGATGCTAATACTGAGGGTGAATTGGATTTTTTGGTAGCAACAAGGAAGGATGCTAACCACCTGCATGAGTGGCCTCTATCCAGTCCCGTGAATCAGCCAGGTTTGTGCTCACACTTCTGAACCCCTTTGGCTGCTTGCGGTGATCATCTGTCTAGAATCTTTAAAAATTGTTTCCCAGCTCATTTGGCAGAGAAAGCATGGTCCCAGGTGATCCTAAGTTACATGATCTTGAGCAAGTGCTCCAGCCTCGTTAGGATCAGTTTTCTCATGCCAAAAGGAAGGAGCTTGGTCCAAGGCAGTTCCATCTCTCACGTTCTGCAAGGTTTTTACTACCACGTTAAGGTTTGGGTTAGGAATTTAGAGTCTTTAGTTCATGAGTGGGGGAAAGGCATTAGATCTCTTGATTTTTTAACCTCCCAAAATGAAGATCTCTTTTTATCTCTTAATATGTAATCCTGTGCCTGAGACTGAATCGGCTTGGGTTGGGTGGGTTTCCATTCTGTCTGTCTGACCAGCCTCTGACTCTCTCTGTCTTTCTCTCCTGCTTACATTGCATCTGGGGTAGAATTGTGGAACAAGCACCAGGAAGTGAAAAAGCAAAAAGCTTTGGAAAAACAGAGTAAGGAACAAATGCCCCTTCCTGTTCCCAAATCTCCCATACCTGCCAACTCCCCAGGCCCAGTTGGGGCAGGCTCTCTTTGTCAGCCCCACCCCAAATTTGCTCTTGGGGGGTATTTGGAATGAAAGCAGGTAGGTGGTATGTGATTCACAGGTACGTGACTTGTAGGCTGCTTCTTTCCCCGCTCCTCCTAGCAATCAGGCTGTAATCAGGGCGTCTATCGAGTAAAGTCCCTTAGACCTTGGTTCTCTATTGCTTCAGAGTTGGTGGGGAGAATGGTCGCCTATTTCAGTGCCCCTCATTGGCTGAGATCTCCCTCACCCATTAGAAGGCCTGTGGGCACAGTTGGCAGAGATGGTTGCTGTCCCTCCGTGTTGAGTCTGTAGCTTCCCAGCTCTCTCTGGTGGCTTGCCTAGGCACGCTTTCTTGCTTTCTGTCATTCTGTCCTTCTGCCATACTACTGTGGGTGGGTGGGGAAAAATGACAGTGTGTTTGTTTTTTTTATCTCAAATGTAGAAGTAGGGTTGGGGTAGGCTGTGTCCACAGAAACAGCTGGTGTTTCTGTATCTCATTGGGCCTATCCTTTTCTAGCCCCTTTTAGATACATTTGCTGGGGAAGCACCGAGTGACCTGGGGACCCATAACCGGTTGTACACACCAGTGAAGCTCTGACTCTGAGTGTAGTGGAATGTGGTTTAGACATTTGTTTGTGGAGCTTTCTGTTTTAGAATGATTTGCTCAGAATTTTCTCAGGTTGTGAAGATGGCTACAGAACCCCTTGAGACCAGGTTTAATTTGTCCTACTTGGTTCTTAAGGCATCTGGGGACTTCTTCCAATGGGGCCCGAGGTGGGGGCAGTCCCTGGAAAGGTGACTGGGACACGCTGAACAGGTCTGGGACCAGGCTGTGCTGCTGTCCCTTTCCCTTCACCAGCCTGCCCCTTGTGTGTGTGTGCACTGGGTGACAGAGGTCTTCCCCTACCCAGGGCCTGAAGCAATCAAACCCGTCTTTGACCTTGGTGAGACAGAAGAGAAAAAGTCCCAGATCAGCGCGGACAGTGGCGTGAGCCTGACATCTGGTTCCCAGGTTTGTGATGACCTTGTTAAGAATTGTGAGAATTAAATTTGCTCTCTCAGAATACTTCTTTAAGTTAAAAAAAAAAAAAAAAAAAGACAACCTCAAAGCAACATGCTTGCCCAGTGGTAGTGGACTGATGAAATAAGTATAATACATCATGTACTATGATATTAACATCATTGAAGACTGTTTTTAAAAATGTAGTAACATGGGAAAATGCTTTACACAGCTACATGTAGTATGATTCCCATTTTATTTTTAAAATGTATGTAGAAAAGACTAAAAGGAAATGTACTGAAACCTTAACAGTGATTAATATCAGTGGTAGGTTTATGGCTTTTGTTTCCTTATTCTTTCTTGTATTTTCTATAGTGAGTATGTATTTCTTTTTTACTATTTTTTATTACATAGTTTTTATTATTTTCTATTACGTATATTTTATATTCAGGAAAAAAATAAATTTCTCATGACCTGTTTAGGGATGGTAATAGTAGGCTGGGGATGGGGAGAAGGAAGAAGATACAGTATTTCTTAAAGAAACCAGGAGTATATGGGACACCCCTTCTAATGTGTCTGAGTCCCCGTGTCGTTTCAGAGGACTGATCCAGACTCTGTCATTGGTGTGAGTCCAGCTGTTATGATCCGAAGCTCAAGTCAGGACTCTGAAGTTAGCACCGTGGTAGGGGAACACCACATTGGCATCTTGGTGGGTGGGGTGTGAGCTTCCCTCTGGAAAAGGGGGCTGCTTTCTCCCATGGAGGCTCTTAGTCTCATGTCAGCTTGGTTCTCATGGTGGAGATGTTCATGGTGGAGATGTCCTAGGTTTGTATGCGTGGGATCAGACCCTGAGATTGCACCCAGGGCACCTCATCCTGTAGAGAAGGTACTTCCAGAGGCTATCTGACCCACCTTTGAAGTTCAGTGCTTTCTCTATGGCAGTGGAGAGCTCTAACAGCTGGGCATTTCTGGGAACCTTTCCCTGGGGAATATCCCTTACTACCCCTTTTTCCTTTCCAGGTGAGTAATAGTTCTGGAGAGACCCTTGGAGCAGACAGTGACCTGAGCAGCAACGCAGGTGATGGAGCAGGTGGTGAGGGCAGCGCCCACTTGGCCAGCTCTCGGGGCACTTTGTCTGATAGTGAAATTGAGACCAACTCCGCTACCAGCACCATCTTTGTGAGTTTTGTTTACTAACAAAAGGAGATCAGCTCTTTCACGGGAGGGCAGTGGATTAGAAAAGAATGAAAAGTTAGGGGGCAACTAGAAGGAAAGGAGAATATCAGGAATCAGTCAGGAATGAATAATCCTGATATATCTGGCTTCAAAGAAATGTTTCTCAAATCTTTTTTCAGAGTTATTTGACTCCATGATCTGGGGCTTTTAGGATCCTCTCAAGAATCACTGAGGAGTTGGGCTCCCCTCCCACTCAGATAAGGGCCTCAAATCCTAAGTAGCAGTAATCCCCACATTTACAATAGACAAGGTGATGGGTACTTTGTGGCAATGTCAGGGCAGTTATAGTGTGTACCAGTCAGCCTGTTGCTATGGAATAGTTTGGTTTTATGCTGGTCACTGCTCTATTTATACAGCGCTTTAAAATAGCATTTTATTTCAGTTTTATTTTATTTTAGTATGGTTTTTTTTTTATGTTTATTTATTTTTGAGAGAGAGAAAGAGAATGTGCACACGAGCAGGGGAGGGGCAGAGAGGGAGACAGAGAATCCCAAGCAGGCTCTTCACTCTCAACACAGAGCCCAGCGCGGGGCTTGAACTCACGAACCGTGAAATCACGACCTGCGCCGAAACCAAGAATCCGACACTAACCAACTGAGCCACCCAGTCGCCCCTATTTTAGTATATTTTTAACAGTTATTTGATGTTTTCATTCATTAATAAGTATCTACTAAGTGATCTACTAAGTGCTATTTTCTGTACTAAAGAAAGAGAGATAAGGCACGATTCTCACTCTCAAACAAGTTTGCAATTCACTGTTTCTGTGACTAATCTCTCCTGATGGGAACAAAACCTTAGGGAAAAAGAACTTGCCCTACATCATATAAAAAGCCAGCAATCAGTTGGAATTAAATTAATTCTGTTTAGTTCTTGCCTTTAGACACCCTACTTTTTGGTGTATACATGCCTCTTTAAACAGCACTAAGCACTCTGATATGCTTGTCACTTTATTAGAGTCGAGAATGGATAGTCTCTACAGGAGCTTATAGGTCCTTATCTTTGTGGAGAGCATGGAAGATGGAATTTAAATGCAATCAAATATTTAACACTGGTGATCATTCCCACCCTCAGGGCTTTCTGTTGTGTGTGTTTCTGATAGAGCAGGTGACATCCCTGAGTGAAGGTGGCAAATGGGATGGAAAGTCAGCAGAGCCATTCAAGTTAATGGACCTTAACTTTCCTTGAGTCTAAATAGACCATTTTAATGAGAGTATTTTAAATCCTTCCCGTGTGTCTCCATTCTGGAAGTTAAGATAGATAATATGGGATAGCAGTCTTGCAAAAAGCCTTTCAGCTGTGTGCTTTCCTGGCACCTTCCTGGGACAAATTCTTACTTGTTCTGTGCTGGTGGGCAAGGGCTGTTTTTGTACAGCTGAGTTGCTGAGAGCAATTAAATTTCTTGGCTCAAAAAAAGGCTAAACAGTAAGAAATAAATTGGATTAAGTCAGTATGGTCCATTGAACAAAGAATTGGGCTATGAATCTGGAGACTGGCATTTAGACGCACTAATTAGGTATTGCCTAATAACCTTTGATTGGTTGCTTCTCTGCTTATGCTGTTGCAGGAGTTGTGAAATGGGCATGAAACCTGCCTCTGACCCAGTTAAAAGTCTTTTTTGAATGATTAGAAAGCCGACTATTGTGGAAGTGGCACATAAAGTTAGTGATATTTCTAAGGGGCAGATATTTCTAAGAGACAGTAGGAAAGAGAAAATTAACATTTATCAACACCATGTGCCAGGCCTGATTAAGTGCTTCATATATTTTTTTCTAATTTAATTTCTGTAATAGTCCTGTGAGGTAGATGATACATACCTTCCTTTTATAGGTGAGGAAAATGAGACTCAGAGAAGCTAAGTTTTATGCTTAAGGTCACACAGCTCGCGAGAGACAGGGATCTGAACCTTGGTCAGTCCGACTTCAAAACCAGTGTTCTTTCTACTGCATCATGCTGCTACAGAGAATTTGCTTTTTTTTTTTTTTTTTTTAAAGAGTAAATGGTCTTTTATAGAGACTAAAGGGTAAAGACAAGCAAAATGAAAATGTGATTGCATGTTTTAAGAGGCAGTAACAGCAGCATTATCACATTGACTTCTGGTCAAATCCTTGGGGCAAGCAGAGTAGCAAAAACAGGACTCCTAGAGTATACGTTGCTGATGGAAGATAACAGGTGTGTGAGCCTCTTAGTGAGCTGGTGGCAAACCCTATCCATCGGTACCTCAGGCAGCTGACTGGTACCTCTTCTTTGTAGGGGAAAGCCCACAGCTTGAAGCCAAGTGTAAAGGAGAAGCTGGTGGGCAGCCCAGTTCGCTCTTCTGAAGATGTAAGCCAGCGAGTCTATCTCTACGAGGGACTCTTAGGTGAGAAACAGACTGGGGAGGCCTCTTGCCCTGGAAGAAAGCTGGACTCAGCTGGGGAAGAGGGTAGCACCAAAGAACTAGCTGCTTAGCTTTAAGCCGATCTCAGTGCTGATGTTAGAGGGCGTTTTTATATCTGAAGCAGGTGACTTACCAGGTCTGCAAATAGCAGTAGGTGAGCACTATAAGAGACTGGATTTTGGTATTAATCAACAGCCTCTGTCTTTCTGTCTGTCTGTCTTTCCTTTCTTGCTACCATGGTCCTTCCCGCTCACAAATTGGCAGGAAGGGACAAAGGATCGATGTGGGACCAGTTAGAGGATGCGGCTATGGAGACCTTTTCTATAAGTAACCACCTTTCTTTGTGTGCTGTGTGCATCCTTCCTCTTCGGGAGGGGCTGGGCCTCACTTGGAGGAGCTGGGGCTGGTGGCAGGATGTTAGTTCTGGGGTGGAGAGGCTCATGTTTCCTTTGTCCTAGAATTTGTCCCTTCTATCTGGAGTTTACGCTTTATTTTGGTTTGGCAGCTATATTCTTTATATGTTAAATAAGCCTCTAGAAAAATTCTATTCTACACAGGCAAAGAGCGTTCTACTTTGTGGGACCAAATGCAGTTCTGGGAAGATGCATTCTTAGATGCTGTGATGTTGGAGAGAGAAGGGATGGGTATGGATCAGGGTCCCCAGGAAATGATCGACAGGTATGAGACTTAGCAAATGCTTGGGAAATGCAAATTCAGCCTTTTCCGAGTTCTGTGGTCTCCCATCTGAGGGCTGACTTGTCCTTGTCTCCTGCTTAGGTACCTGTCCCTGGGAGAACATGACCGGAAGCGTCTGGAGGATGATGAAGATCGTTTGCTGGCCACACTTTTGCACAACCTCATCTCCTACATGCTGCTGATGAAGGTAATGTCGATTTTGCTTGTGCCCAGCTACTGCTGATGCTAGAAGGGAAAGGCTTTTTCCTATGACCTAAGTTCTGGGACATTTGGGAAGTTCTCTGAGCATCTTACTAGAGCTCTTCCTGATTGAGTGTTTGAGATCTAGCTCACACATGATCCATTTGTCTGAAGCTGCCAGGCTGTTGTGCTAAGGAATGTGGTAAAGATGATTGGTGATTCTATACCATTTATTTATTTAGAAATTTAAATGGGCTTCCTTTGCTAGTAGTTCTAGGATCCCAGTAGAGCGCCCTACAGAATACAATGAATTAAAAAAAATTTTTAAGTGTTAGTTTCTAAAACCTTAGAAAGGATAGTCAGAATTCATTTTTTAGCACTAGCCCTTTATCATATAGAATTTTCCATAGATGTAAAAAGAGCTACTCATTAAAAAATTAATGGTATGTTCTAGTTTGACTTGGTTGTACTTAGTTGTTATACCTGTGGAAGAAGAATATTACCAAATAGAGGGGTCTTGTTTTGAAAGGGAAACATGAGTTTGGGGTTGGTGGGTAGAAGAGAGTTGTTTTGAGAGTGAGCCCCTGGGTTTCTCCTCCTCCTGTTCTCCCCTCCTGAAGATGAAGGGATGGGTTGATCAGATGCAGAGAACGAGAACACCCTACAGGCTGACTTAGTTTGTTTCATTTTCTGCTGTAAGTTCACTCCATTCTATTGAACTCCAGGGGTACCAGTTAACTCTGCTTGAGAAAGAGTGATGATCCTGAACCCTGGGAAGGTGTCTCTGCTACAACCAAGCCAGAATGTCACTACTCTAAGGCATCATTTCTGAACTATACTCTGAGGAGCCCCAGGGGGTTTTAGGGCCCCTTTAGGGATGAACATTATGTATTGGTTGGGGATAGGGAGGAGGTGTCTTCTTGAACCCCTGTCCACTTGAACCAGACCTGCTCTAAAAGCTACTTTTCTGCAGAAGTCATCTAGACACAGAACCAAGGTTTTCCTTCCCAGCCTGTTGGCAGAATAGAGAGTTGAGTATTTTCTCTCCTATTCAGTGATGTGGACTCCGAATTGTCTCAAATGGTCAGAAACTTGCTTGTATGTTCCCTCCACCTCATTTGCAAGAGCAGATCCCTCGTTAAGATCCTGTTTTGACTTTCTAGGTAAATAAGAATGACATCCGGAAGAAGGTGAGGCGCCTGATGGGAAAGTCGCATATTGGGCTTGTGTACAGCCAGCAAATCAATGAAGTGCTTGATCAGCTGGCTAACCTGGTAAGCATAGCCAGGCTGTTCCTTAGGCTCCCTTCCCACTGCACTTGTCGCCTCCCAGGCTTGGGCCTTGTCTCCCAGTGCACAGGCTTCCCTACAGGTCATTTCTTGGCTTGTATATTTTCAGAAAACTGAGTTTTGAAAATAGGGTTTTGAGTCTAGATGAGGCTTTAGTCTTTCTGTTCATCTGTGATAGGATTCTCTGTCCTAAAACCATCCTAGTGCAGCCATTTCAACATGTGGTCTGTGGACTCCTGAGGATCCACAAGCTGAAAAACTACTTTTATAATAATACTAAAATGTTCTTTGCCTTTTTTACCAGGTTGACATTTGTACTGATGGTATAAAAGCAGTGATAGTTACAACTCCTGGATACCTTCACACCGTGAGGCAGTGTGATGGTAGCCATGGAGGGCCCTCTCAGTTTAAAAAAAGAAAGAAAAATGAAAAATAGTTTCACTTAAGAGTGTTCTTGATGAAAGAGTTAAAATTCATTAATTTTATTAAATCTGATCATTGATTATTCACCTTTTGAATATTTTATGTGACAAAGTGAGAAATATGGAGAAAGTGTTTGTGTTGCAAACCAAAACGATGATTGTTTCAAGGAAAAGCAATTTGTGACAGTTTGAGTTGCAAGGTGAACTGTCAACTTTGGTCATGAGACATCATTTTTACTTGAAAGAATGACTAACTAGTTATTCAGAGTTGGGTATTTATTTGGCAGACTTTTAGGCTTGAGTTTTCCTGATATTTAAAGACTTTTCTAATGAGATTGACATTTTTTTAAATAAAATTTTTTTAAACACTCTTTTTTTTTTAATATGTATTTATTTTTGAGAGAGAGAGAAAGAGAGAGCACATGAGCAGGGGAGGGGCAGAGAAAGAGGGATACACAGAATCTGAAGCAGGCTCCAAGCTCTGAGCTGTCAGCACAGAGCCTGATGTGGAGCTTGAACCCATGAACCACAAGATCATGACCTGAGCCAAAGTCGGAAACTTAACCAACTGAGCTACCCAGACGCCCCAGATTTTTTTTTTTTATAGAGAGATTGCAAGAGGGGGAGAGGGGCAGAAGGGAGAGAGAATCTTAAGCCAAGATCAAGGGTTGGACGCTCAAACAACTGAGCCATCCAGATGCCGCAATGGGATTGATATTAATGAATGTGATCTTTTTTATATTCTGTAATGAAATGTGTCAATATTTGGAAGAGCTGCATAACTTAAACCAGTATTTTCCAAAAGACCACTGTGTGGAATCTGTGTTACAACTTCAAGTATGAGTAAAGATACACTCAAAATGTAAGGCAGACAAATGGATTTAATATAACAAAGTAGAAAATGTTCAGGGGCGCCTGGGTGGCTCGGTTGAGCATCCAACTCTTTTTTTCTTTTTTTATTAATTTATTTTCAAGCTCGTTAACATACAGTGTAGTCTTGGCTTCAGGAGTAGAACCCAGTGATTCATCTCTTACATATGACACCCAGTGCTCATCCTGAAAAGTGCCCTCTTTAATGCCCGTCACCCATTTACCCACCCTCACGCCCTTCAAGCAAGCCTCAGTTTGTTCTCTGTATTTAAGAGTCTCCTATGGTTTACATCCCTCCCTGTTTTTATTTTGTTTTTCCTTCCCTTTCCCTATGTTCATCTGTTGAGTTTCTCAAATTCCACATATGAGTGAAATCACATGGTATCTGTCATTCTCTGACTTATTTTGCTTAGCATAATACCCTCCAGTTCCAGCTACATTGTTGCAAATGGCAAGATGTCATTCTTTTTCATCACCAAATAATATTCCACTGTATATATACCACATCTTCTTTATCCATTTATCAGTTGATTTTGTGATCCTGGGGTTGTGGGATCAAGCCCCATGTTGGGCTCCATGCTCCGCATAGAGCCTAAGATTCTCTCTCTCTCCCTCTGCCCCTCTCCTCCACTTGTGCTCTCGCTGTCTGTCTCTTAAAATACTCCTCCCTTTTCCAAATACATATTTGCGAGACCAGATTTTCTTTATATACTTCAACCAAAGCAGTGTGTCACAATGGATTGAATGAAAAAGCAGATATGAGAATCCAGCCATTTTTTAAAACCAAACATTAAAGAGATGTGCAAAAATGTAAAACAGTGCCAGTCTTCTCATTTTTGGATGGGGGGGGCATATGGTTGTTATTTTAAAAAGTTATTTATATTACCATGTGTTATTAATGAATGATCAACTACTTTAAAATGAATTAATAATATTTTCAGTTTTAATTTCTAGTATGGTAAATATCTACAAATTTAACTCACATAAACCTAAGCTCTTGGGGATTGTCAATTTTTAAGAGGTATAGGAGTCCCAAGACCAAAAAGTTTGAGAACATGTCCCTAGTGGCCTATAGCCAGCAGATGGCACTGTGCTAAGTAAGCTGATAGGAATTTAATTGCTGAAGCTGGGGTGGGAGGGGTGGGAGGGGTGGGAGGGGCGGAGGGGGAGGGTGGAGTGGGGGCGGAATTCTCGGCCCAGATTGTTCTGTGAGAGAGACACATGGATGTGTCTAACAGATCTCTCTTTTCTCAGAATGGACGTGACCTCTCTATCCGGTCCAGTGGCAGCCGACACATGAAGAAGCAGACATTTGTGGTACATGCGGGGACAGACACAAATGGAGATATCTTCTTCATGGAGGTAAATGCTAGTTCATGCTAGTTCAGATGTCTCAAAGGAACATTTAGGAGTCACAAGGAGCTTCTAGAACTGATGCCAGAATATTTCTCCCACTTACTCATCTTCGTGATCCATTTATCCATTTAATAGTCAGGCTCTTATGCAAATGATATAATATATGATTCCCCATCATTTCTTTTAAATATATATTGAATAGATGATGTAGTCACATTGTTCCTAAGTCAAGACAACTAAAATGGTAGGCATGGGGAAGCCTTGTTCTCTTTCTTAGCCCTCCGTCTCAATTTCCCATCCACTTTGCCCCTCCCTCCTATAGGTAACCACTTGTATTGGTTTCTTTTGTTTCTTCCAGTGGTACTTCACACACATACAATAAGATGTGCGCATCAGTTCTGATCTTTCTTCTTTCTTACAGGAAGGTAGTGCATCATATCCACTGATCTGTACCTTGCTTTTCTCATTGAACATATCCTGAAGATCTCTCTGTCGGTACAAACATGGGTTTTTTCTTTTAGTTGAAGAAGATTTGACATACAAGGTTATATTAGTTTCAGGCATACAGCACAGTGACTCGACAGTTCTGTACATCATGCATGGCTCACCGTGATGAGTGCGGTCACCATTATTGTAACGTTATTGCAATGTTATTGACTCTATTCCCTCTGGTTCTCATTCTTTTTACAGCTGCGTAGTATTCCATGATATGACTGTACCATAGTTGATTTAAGCAGTCAATATATATGTGCCCTTGCTTTTCTTCCACGTTTGTACTATTGCTAATGGTGCTACTATGCGTGATGCCATGCCTTCTTCCTTCCACACATGTGCAAGTTATCCAAGAACTCTCAGAGTGGCATCACTGAACCAAAGGAAAAAATGCATTAATGATCTTGGTTGATCTGACTCTGAAGTATCTCCTAACATATAATAGTTTCCTTCCCACTTTGCCATTTATTTTGTTGAAGCAATGTGCCATGTGGAGTATCTCACATTCTCACATTCTAGATTTTTTTGCTGATTGCATCTGACTGCATCTCTTTGGTGTCAACATGTTTTTCCACCACTTGTATTTTTTATAAACCAGTAGTTCAATCTTGAGGTTTGATGAGTTTCAGATTCAGTATTTTGGCAAGAATACTTCGTAGGTGGTGCTGTATATTGCCTATTGTGCCATATGGTCATCTCCCTCCTGGTGATTAGTGGATTTAGATGTGGGCAGCCTGCTCCATCCACTGTGAAATTCCTCATGAGTCTTCTGAGTTTGCTTATGTTTTTTTTTTTTTTTTTGCCATGCAGAATTTTTTTAGTTTTATGTGGTTGAATTAATCAACTGTAATTTTTAAGTTTACTATTAATTTTTAATAGTTTCTGGATTTTGAGTCAGAGGTAGAAAAACCTTCCTAGGGACACCTGGGTGGCTCAGTCAAACATTGGACTTCAGCTGAGGTCATGATCTCACGGTTTGTGAGTTCGAGCCCCACATCGGGCTCTGTGCTGATGGCTCAGAACCTGTTTCAGATCCTGTGTCTCCCTCTCTCTCCGCCCCTCCCCTGCTTGTGCTCTCTGAAAAATAAACATTAAGAAAGAAAGAAAAAAGAAAAACCTTCCTTACTCCAGGATTGTAAAGGCAGTTGGCTATGTTATCTTTATTTCTGTATTTTTTATTTTAAAATGAATCTCTTCTACATAATCGTAGGGACCAAGTACAACTCCCATATAAAGTAGTGAAATCAATTAATTTTTACAAGTATTTCTTCCTTTTGGTTTAGTTGAGTTGGGTTTTCACATCCACAGCTTTTGGAGCAAATAGTTTATCAGACATGAGGCAGGAGTTCTGCCCTGAAGCAGGAACATTCATGTTGGTGTAGCTGAGAAGGGAGTCATTTTCATGCCACCGTGAAACTTTAGAATTTGGCTAGGTGTCTGCTCGAGTTGAGGGCTAACTTAGGACGTCTGCACCACATGCAGGTAGCAGGTGATTCCTGCCCTTTCCTCTTCCTTTGAAAAAAATAAATAGAGAAGATCCCTTGAAGTATAGGACTAACACTCCCCACCATACAGGGGAGCCTCGTACAAAGTCCCTGGAGTATGGAATGGATCTGTCACCTCCCAAATCCCTCTCCTTTAAAGTGTCAAATAAGACTGTACCTCACTCACTCTGTCACCCACTACGGTTAGCTTACTAATTTAGCCTTTCTCATCTCTGCATAGCCTGCTGGCCGCATGATCACTTGGAGAGCAATTTGCAAAGACTTTTAAAAAATCCTCTCTATTACCCTTTTTTTTTTTTTAATTACAGAAGTAGAACAGTATATGTTGTGAAAGTTTCAAACCATGTAGAAGTAAATAAAAAGTGAAAGTTTCCCTTCACTTCCTTCAGTACTAGGTCTCAGAAGTAACCACTGTCAAAGAGTTTGGGATGATTTTTAAAAATGCATATTTCTATAAATACAATTTACTTATATATAATTTTGTTTTAGTGTTTACAAAAGTGGTATCAAACTATATATATTGTTACATAATTTGATTGTTTTCACTTGATTTATGACTGACATCTTTCCATGTCTACATATTATATAGATCTATCTCTGTTTTTCCTTTTTTTTCTTTTTTCTTCTCTCTCTTTTTTTTTAAGTTTATTTGAGAAAGAGCATGCACATACAGGCGGGGAAGGAGCAGAAAGAGAGACAGAGAGAGAGAGAGAGAGAGAGAGAGAGAGAGAATCCCAAGCAGACTCCAAGCTGACAGCACGTGGAGTCTGACGTGGGGCTTGAACCCACAAACCATAAGATCAGGACCTGGGTCAAAATCAAGAGTTGGATGCTTAACTGACTGAGCCACCCAAGGGCCCCTCTTTTTTCTTTTTCCTTCCCTCCTCTCCCCTGCCTTTCCCTCCCCTCCCCTTCCCTTCCCTCTTCTCTTCTTTCTTTTCTTTTCTTTTCTTTTCTTTTCTTTTCTTTTCTTTTCTGTTCTTTTCTTTTCTTTTCATTAAGTAAGCTTTATACCCAATGTGGGGCTCGAACTCACAACCCTGAGATTAAGAGTTATATGCTTCACTGACTGAGCTGGCCATATGCCCTTGTCTCCGTTTTTTTAATGGATGTTTAGCTATCAAGCGTTATATGGATGTATACCATGAGTTATTCAATTCCCACTTAAAAAAAATAATGCTTCATTGAATATGCTTGACTGTATGTCTTTGCACACTCACATGAGAATTTCTACAGACTAGATTCTTAGTGTGAAAATTTCTGGATCAAGCTTATATACATTTAAATTTTTTATAGGGGCGCCTGGGTGGCTCAGTCGGTTAAGTGTCCAACTTTGGCTCAGGTCATGATCTCATGGTTCGTGAGTTCGAGCCCCGTGTCAGTCTCTGTGCTGACAGCTCAGAACCTGGAGCCTACTTTGGATTCTCTGTCTCCCTCTCTCTCTGCCCCTCCCCCACTCGCACTCTGTCTCTCTATCTCTCTTTCTCTCAAAAATAATCATTAAAAACAAATTTTTTAATAAATAAAATTTTTATAGATTCTGCCAAATTGCCATTCCAAACACTATACCAGTTTACAGCTCCACCAGCAGCATAGGCAAGTATGATACTTTATTATCATCATCTTTCAAGCCTAGAAATCCTATGTTCTTATAAATACCTGTCCTGCCCCTCTCCTTGACATTGTGTTCTTAAAGAATTATGGGAAGTCGGGGTAATTGTCTTCATTTTTCACCTGGAGTCAGACTGGGACCAGAACTCAAATTTTTAATTTCTAACTCAACTATTTTATGACCTTTTTCTTTTTTTCTTTTTTAAATATATATTTTTTTAAGTTTATCTTGAGACAGAGAAAGAGAAAGAGCATGCGGGGGAGAGGCAGAGATAGAGGTGGGGAGAGAGAATCCCAAGCAGGCTCCATGCTATCAGCAGAGACTGTTGCAGGACTTGAACTCACGAACTATGAGATCATGACCTGAGCTGAAATCAAGAGTTGGACACTCAACTGACTGAGCCACCCAGGTGCCCCTGTCATCTTTTTCTTCATAAGGCTTTTAGAGCCTCAGTAACTCTTAACATAGTAGGTTAAACCTGGTAGTCCTGTGTATTCCTTTTTTGTTCACTTAATGTTTATGGAACACATACTATATGCCAGGTACACTGGGTATGGGGTACAGCAGTGAATAAGGGAGACATCGTTCCTCTTGCCCTTCCAGGGTTGACAAGCCATCAGGGAAGTCAGCTAATGAAACAGTGTCATAAAGTATGATGAGCGTTATGAAAGAAGATGCTCAGGGGAGTAGGCAGTCTGGGAAAACATAGCAGAGGGTCTAGGAGTCATGGGTGACCCCTTAGAAGTGACCTTGAGTTTAGACTTAGAAGAAGTAGGAATGAATGGCTGAAGCGGGGGAGGGAGAGAGTTCCAGGGTGACTCAGAATGGATAGGACTCAGTGATGTAGTGAGAGGCAAAAGGAGTCTTGCATCACTCCTTCATGTCTGGCTTGGGCAGCTGGGTGGTGACACCATTTACTCAACTAGGGGACGCAGAAGGAGGATCTACCCAGGAAGAGATGTGGACTTCAGATTTGGACATGATGAGATTGAGGTGCTGCCTCAAGCCATCCAGAAGAGAGGGATTCAGGAACTCAGGAAGATGGTCTCATGTGGAGAAAGACTTGAGAACCATTGATGGGGTCATAATAATCATTGTTACATTTCCTATATTGTAATTATTATTATCGTTACAGCATCTAACTCTAGAGTACTTCCTGTGTGCCTGGCTTTGTTCTAAAAAGTCTGTGCACATTAACTTAATCTTCACATGAGGAAACGTGGAAACGTAGATGCAGGCTAACTTGTTCAAGGTGACACAGCTAAGTAATGGGACAGCCAGAAACCTAATGCAGTCAGATCTTGGAGAATGTTGAACAAGAAAAGAATGTGAAGGAGGACTTCACATTCACTTTCATTTATATCTCCCTGAATTGTATAATATCTTTTGCAGTAAGCATTGCCCACGTGTCACTTGTATGGTTAATTACTTAAAAGATTTATGCAGAGGGGCGCCTGGGTGGCTCAGTCGGTTAAGTGTCTGACTTTGGCTCAGACCATAATCTCACAGTTTGTGGGTTCGAACGCCATATCAGGCTCTGTGCTGACAGCCTGGAGCCTGCTTCAGATTCTGTGTCTCCCTCTCTCTCTGGCCCTCCCCCATTTGTGTTCTGTCTCTGTCTCTCTCTCAAAAATAAGTAAACATCAATAAATAAATTAATGAGTTAAGATAAAAGATTTATGCAGAACTAGGATCAAGGCAGTATTAGAAAATCATTGGTTCCATTTTTTTCTCCTTGGTTAAGTCTGCCATAATCCTCTGCCTTTGCACTCGTCAACAGAGATGATTCCTAAGGTTGGAACATGGCGGCAGGAGATACCCTCTTAAGCCTAGAACATCTAAGAGGTAACAGACACTGGTTGAAGTGAAAATTGAAACTCTGATTGAGCCTCCCTCCTTGCTCACAGGCTCCTGCCAGTGATTCCCTTTCTTCCAGTAAACCTTCTAGTGGACAGTATGCCCAGCAGTTCAGTGTTTGTGCCTCCACCAAAGGAAGACTGTGAACAGAAGACAGAAAACCTGACCGTGGGGATGCTCCCAGGACCAGCCGTCCCACCCTTTCCCTGTAGTGTGGCCTGGGCTGAAGGAGACTTTAAGAGACAAGCGCCACTGACCCACTCTGTGCACTCCTGCAGGTGTGTGATGACTGTGTGGTGTTGCGTAGCAACATCGGGACGGTGTATGAGCGCTGGTGGTACGAGAAGCTCATCAACATGACCTACTGTCCCAAGACCAAGGTGTTGTGCTTGTGGCGTAGAAATGGCTCTGAGACTCAGCTCAACAAATTCTATACTAAGAAGGTACCCATGAGCTCTGTTTGAGCTGGGGGTGGGCACTGAGGGCGAAGGTTGGAGTTTCTTTCAGGGAAGTTAAAATTCCACAGTCCGTGTCAGAGCCCCACTTTTGCCTCTGGCTGTTGTGTGGGACACATGAAGCTGTCTCTGGCGCCCTGGCATCGGCCCAGGCCCTTGGCAGCTGTTAGAGAGCAGAGCAGGGGGACTCCGGAAGGCTCGGACGACAGGACAGCTCTCTCCCCCGTGTGCTGCAGTGTCGGGAGCTGTACTACTGTGTGAAGGATAGCATGGAGCGAGCTGCTGCCCGACAGCAAAGCATCAAACCCGGTGAGAAGAGAATGATTCCCCGAGCAAGTGCCTTCCGTTTATTTTTACCCATGCTCCTGCGTGTCAGAGGCCTGACAAGGAAGTCAGGCGTGGGGCTCCCCATCTCCCCAGTTAGCTGATAACCTCCTCCCCCACCACAGGCCCTGAACTAGGTGGCGAGTTCCCCGTGCAGGACATGAAGACGGGTGAGGGTGGCTTGCTGCAGGTCACCCTAGAAGGGATCAATCTCAAGTTCATGCACAACCAGGTAGGTGCCAGTGGCAGCACAGGCTTCCTAGCCCTGTTTTTCCATCTGCTGTGAGGCTCAGTGTCCGGGTCCTGGTGCTTTCCCAGTGAGCCTGAGGGCCTTTGGGGCCAGTGGGAGGATTGGAGGCTGGACCAGAGAGAGAAATCAGAGTGAGGGCACAGTGACGTTGGTGACCACCTTGAAGGTGCAGGGGGGCGCCCACGTGGGGGGCTGGGAAAGAGGGGGAGCCTTGGTGGCTAGGCTGCCTCCGTCCATTAGACTCAGTACAGTGTGAGTGGGAGCGTCTCACTTGGCCCTTCTTCGCACAGTGTCTGCCTTCCCTTATTCCCAGGGTGTGCTTTTGCTTGGTGGTTTTGCTTCTGAGAGTCTAGACCAGCTGATCTCCTCACGTGTTGCTGGTGTGTGTGAAGCGTGTGTGTGTGTGTGTGTGTGTGTGTGTGTGTGTGTGTGTGTGTGAGAGTGAGTAGCTTGTGTCTGTCCTATCTGGAGGATGTGTGTTTATTTGCCGATTTCTCCTGCTGATTCTTCTTCCTATTCTTTTCGTGCCTCTGAGTGTCCCCACTCTGCCCCCTGCTCCGCAGGCCCCGCTCCCTTTCCTTGACTGGGGAGCACATCAGAATACATCTTTCTCTCATTGTGATTCACTATAGGAGCTGACTTTTTTTTTCTCTTGGTCTTTTAACGCAGTGATACTTTTTCTCTCAGTGGACATTCCTTAAGCTAATTCCTTTCTGAGGCCAGCGCATCATCCCAGGTCCGTTCCCAGTTCTGCCTCTTCACACAAGTGCCTTCCCTACCCCTTCCCTGACGTACTGGTTCCTCTCCTTGAGGTTCTGAGCCAGGTCCGAATGTGTGAAGCACCACAGCCCCTGGCCAGGCAGCAGATACTCAGGGGAGGTGAACATCTGGACCCTGTGGCTTTCTTCCTCCACTGCCATTTTAGTTCTCCTTCTTTTAGGAATCTAACCGGGCAGCTTTGGTGTGATGGGAAACAGCTGCTCAGGCAGTGTACTGTCAGCAGTATATTTACTATCAGTAACATTAATGTATTAAATAGTATACTTGAGACCTTAGGGTCAGCCCAAAGAGAGGTTCACTGAAGTACTTTTCTGGAACATGAAGGTGCCAGCACTTCTTGGGGAAGCAGGCTTCTGACTGCATTTAGAGGCTTCCCCCGATGCCTTACCTTCTGAAGAAGAGATCTTGTTAAACAACAGCCAGATGCCCTCTTCTGGGTACCAGCGTCAGCAGAGCCCCTCTGGACCAACCTAATGTCTAACCATTAGCACCGCATGCACGAGCTGGTCTGTAGTTTAAGGCTTCGCCCTAGAAGAGAGATCCTGCCTATAGGGGGAGTCAGACCCTGACTGATAACGAGATAATGGCCCTGGGGTCCGTCTTCCACCACCTAACAGTCCTTCGGAGTTGAAGCATTGGACCCTCTGGGAGAGTCCGACAGAGTGGGGTAACAAGTGGGCCTTTGGAGTCAGGATGTGCTTGGAGTCGGAGCCCAGCTTCAGTACTCACAGGCAGATAAACTTTCTGATCCTCTGTCCTCAGCTCGAAAACGAGGGCACTACTGCATGCTGGGCCACATAGGTGTAAGGATTACAAATAGTATTTGTGGAACTCCTAGTAGCTGCTCCTAAGAGGTAGCTGTTACTATATCACCGTGTATTTCTGGGGAGAGCCTGGATTTTGTTTCAAGGAAGATACCAACACCTCCCACCCCAAGGACAATCTGAGGGGAGCTTTGCGCCCGTGCCAGCCCTCTGCGCCGGAGGAGGATGCATGGAAGGGTAGAGAGCTGATGGGCTGAGCGGGGAGACCCCTGGGGCACCGTGTCCTCCAAGCGCTGCCCTGGGCAGAGGGTATGGGCGGGCAGCCCAGGACAGCAGAGGGGCCTTCGGGTTGGGTTTGACCGTTAAAACTAACGCCTTCATTTCTCTCCCATGCTTTCTCCTCCGGCCAGGAGCGGAAGGTACATGCCCTTTCTGCTGTCTTCGCTTCTTAGCGCTTTTGAGTTGTGTGTGTGTGGATTCTTTGGTCCTCCCTTTGGGAACTAGGTCTTCCGTGTGCGGGTGGGGCTAGAGCTGGGAGAGTGGGCTTTGTGGGGCAGGGGGAGAGCCTTTGGGCCTTACCCCGCCCTCCCTCCCTCTCTTGCAGGTTTTCATAGAGCTGAATCACATTAAAAAGTGCAATACAGTTCGAGGCGTCTTTGTCCTGGAGGAATTTGGTAATTACACTATTTTGCTCTTAGGTCTGGACTCACATGGCAGTAACTCAAACCTCGGAGCTCCAGAGGAGGGACTAGAGGCAGAGAGAAGAACCACCTCTGCAGAGAGGTCAGGAGGATTAGGAGCGATAGGGAAGAAAAGGGAACCCGAGATGAGCAAAGGGAAGGAGGAAGAAAGAAAAGAGAGACCAGAGCTGCTAGGGAGTGGGTCCCGGAAGAGCAAGTGGCCTTAGACAGGGTTAGAGTTCGGAGATGCCCCTACCAAGGCTCAGCGAGCTGGTGCCACCTTCCCTTGCTTGGCCAGCTGGTGATCAGAAAGTTCTGGGGCAGAGCAGACGGGCAGTTTCCAAGCTCTACTGTGTTCATGTCACCTGCTGCGATTCTCCTGGCAGCCCAGTGCTCCATGTAGCCACCTGGTGCCGCTCCGGTGTCCCCTGAGCCTCTGCGCTGGAGGAGGGCGCATGGTGGTACCGGCAGACTCACTCTGGAAGGCAGGGAGCCTCGTGGGCCTCAGAGGCAGGCAGGGCAGTTGTGGCTGGAGGCTGGGAGCCAGCCTCCCTGCAGCCAGGCACTGAGAAGTGGTGTAGTGGGTTCTCACCCTGGGGCTTTGAGTTCCTGCTGTGTTTGTGCTTCATTCTTTTGTGCCCCCCATCGCTGCTATGAAAACCTTCGTTCTCCAGCAGGTAAAGTGACCTCGGCTCGTGCTGCCTCCCCCCAGGCCCCTGCCTGGGCCCTGCCGTGGGTGGGATGGGCTCCCTTCAACCAGGCCAGCCGCTCCCATTGCCAGTTGTCTCATCCCTTTTCTCCCCACCCTCTTCCTCTCAGCCTCCCCCCACCCGTGTGCTGGCTCACTCATTCTGAGTTTTCTCCCCTGTGTGCTCCCTCCTCTCTTCTGCCAGAGAGATATTTGGGGGAATCTTTCAACTCAGAAGAAGGACCTGGGCTTCTTGCTCTACCTATGATGAGTTTATTCCCTGGTTAACCCTGGGTCCCCCTGAGTTCTACCTCCCAGGGTCGGAAGAAGGTGTGGCCAACTCTCCTGCTACCTTTTCTGGCCCCCAGGGTGATGCCATGCCCCCCTGCTCCCACCTCCAGGGGCCATCAGGATGGCTGTGCCCCGGGGTAGGGGGGGGCCTTACTCCTTCCTCTGGCCAAGCAGAACCCCTGCATGGCTGGGGCAGGGGTGACTCTTAGTCTTGCATTCTGGGCTGTGGACATGTGTGTATTTTGCCTGATGCTCCCTGTCACCTCCCTCCCCGGGTGCTGTACTCGCCTGTCTTCCGCTCGGTGTGTCTGCTCCAGAGCCCTCTGACGCTCTCCCTCACACAGGCAGGCCTGGGCCTCTCCTGCCACTCAGGGAAGGAAACTTACAGGTCTGGTGGGTTGAGTATCATGCCGCTTCTTCATCCAGCCTAAGGACCCTCTGTGTAGAGGCTGGGAGTGCAGGGAACCATGCTTAACATGAACAGTCTCGGGCTGGTCACAGGGATGAGTTCTCGGGCATCTCAGCACGGCGAGAGGCACAGGCTAGAGACAACTCTCAGCCAAAACGTGGGAACGCCCCACCGCAGCTCCGCAGGGCCCTGGACAGTGGCAGTGAACAGGCTGGTGAGAGGCCAGCCCGCTCCCCTGCTGAGGCTCTCCAGGAAGTGGGTAGAGTCACAGCCATGGCACAGGGAGCCACAGCAGGCCTCAGAGGTCTGGCTGAGGAGTCTGGGGCAGCGGCCTCTCATCCAGCAGCAGCTGGACAGAAGCTGGCATGGCCTGAGCCGCCAGGGCCACTGGGACGTGCCACGGTGGGGAAGGGGACCCTGGTGCCGGGCGCTGCCGCCTGGGAGAGCCTGGCACTACTGCTCTTAGTTTTGAACTTTCTGTTTTGTCTCTTGCCCGTCCGGTTTTAGTTCCTGAAATTAAAGAAGTGGTGAGCCACAAGTACAAGACACCAATGGTGAGTGTGCCGCCCAACCCCGGCAGGCCAGTGTGCGCAGGGCTCCCTGGGGACCTTCAGACAGGAGTGGGTGGGCCCTCTGAGAGCATGGGGTACGGGGCACTAGGAATGGTTTGAGAGCTGAGTTTGGTCGAGATGCCACAGGTCCAGCTGAAGCCGAAACCAGTCTTCGGCCCTGGGAGAGAGAGACACGCGCGCAGATCCCCTCTCCCGCCGGCCAGCTGTGAGCCCCGAGCCCGGTGTGAGGGCAGAGTTTCCTGCTTGGCAGACCTCCACGCGTGGTGATGCCGGAATCTCAGGAACTTGATCCGTCTGGTTTTCTCTTCCCTCTAGGCCCATGAGATCTGCTACTCTGTGTTGTGTCTCTTCTCGTATGTGGCCGCAGTCCGTAGCAGTGAGGAAGATCTCAGGACCCCACCCCGGCCCGTCTCGAGCTGATGGGAGGGGTCGAGAGCCCCCCAGCCCGGGGGATGTGCTTGCGTCTTCCATCCGCAAGCGCACCGTGCCGCGCGCGTGTCCTCTGCGAGCCCCTAGCCGTGGCTTAGTTGGTCCAGAGTTGTGTGTTTCAGCGTGTCTTAGTGTCTGTCACAGGACTCAGCCGGTTTCCTCCACCTGCTCCCTCTCCACTCCCAGGAGACCAGCCTCCTGTCCCCTCAGGGCTCAAGAGTGATGTCTGTCTGTCTTTTGGGCCGATGGCTTGTAAGAACTCTGAGTACAGTACGAGCCCACCCTTGCGTGTCCCTGAGACATTTGTGTCGTGGTTCCTCGTCCTTGGTGTTATGTATGACCCTCCAGTGCAGGACTCTGGCTGTCCGTCTCCTCTGATCCGGCGTGACTGGGTCCTGGGCGAAGGCCCACTCGGTGCAGAGTGAGGGGAGCTTGAGACCTGTCCTCCAGAGAAGGGGTGGGCAGGGAAAGGCCGGGAGAGTCACGGGGCAGCAGAGTGAGTGGCAGCCTCCCTCCTTCCTTACGCGTTTCCCAAGCCCGTAGCTGCAGCCTGCCACGGCTTCCCACTGCGGTGGAGCCGCACCGAGGGGCTCCTTCTCGCTGAGCAGCAATTTCCCTAAGGTCTGCTTTGCCTCGGCATGAGAGACCAGAGTGGTTGGGCTGGGAGAGTCCCAGAGACCACTGGCTACCATGCCCGGGAACCAGGTAGGGGAGAGCCGAGCTCAGTATACACGTCCGTGTCTGCAGGCAGCTGGGTGCTGGAAGGGAGGGATGGCCTGGGAGTGGGCAAGAGGTGATTGTACATATTTCAGCTCTACATTATTTATAAAAAATGTACAGATGTGTGAATGTGAAATAAATGTCCTTAACTCTCCTTGGGCTCTTGACCGCCTTGTATTTAATGACACCTCCTCTCCGCCCAGGCCTGAGGAAGGCTGTCCCTGGACTCTACAGAGGCATCTCAGGCCTAGAAGGAGGGAGATGAGATCGTGCGCATTGGAGTCCTGGCATGCTGAAGCCCCAGCCTCCCACCCCGCTTCCAGGAAGAGGCTATGGGAGGGGCTTCCTGCCCTATGCCCCCCGCCCAGCCCCCCAAGGGCTGCCCTGCTAAGGACTGGCCACTGGAGGAAGCAGCCAAACTGGGCTTAGACATTTGAGCAGAGAGATTCATTTAGCAGTGAAGGAAAAACCAGGGCTCCCCGGCCCCTCACAGGTGCGGTCCAGAGAGGTGGTATGACTTGGCCAGGGCGTCTCACAGAGCCTAGAGCCCGGGCTCAGGGCTCTTGGCCAGGAGTGCCTTAGGTTGGGTGGGACTCTTAAGAGAAGCAACCCTAGGACCAGGCTTCCTGGGATTTTTTTTTTTCCTATGCCACGGAAAATCCTCTGGCGCTACCTGGACAAGAAAGACCATCCACAGTATCAGGGCACTCTGAGACCGGCTGGCTGGCTTCTTCCTCCCAAAAGTAGACTGATAATTGGATTTAGGCTCCCTACGGTGAAAGGAAGAGCAGAGGAGGCCCCTGGTTCCCAATATCTTGCACCGGACAGGACCACCCTCTCCCACTGGGAAGCAGGTGTGGAAGGGCCGTGGACTTGTTGCATACTGGGACCCCGAAGCAGCCTGGCGCGGCTCCTTCCCAGACCCTATGGGCACAGAACCACATGGAAGTTCAGCACTGCCCCACATCCAGGCTGCTGCAACCACAGGTCCCCAGGACAAAGGCAGTACAGAGCACAGGGGACCAGGCGGGAGAGCCCCGGGTTTCCTTCCATCACAGCGCCTCAGTTTCCTCATCAGAAGGACATACACAGAAGTGGGGGAAGGCCGAGGTTTCTTCTAGTGTTTTATGAATGTAGGATTCCACTCTCAGCTTCATTCAACTCATTCATGAGACAGAATACCTGGAATTTTGCTCTGAAGGTCAAGTATATTTCCCTGTGCTTTTTGTGAAAAATGCGTTGGACAAGAAGAGTCAGTTCCTGTGACCGCACTGATTTTTTATTGCCCTTATACATTGAGAAGACATGGCAGGCCAGAAAGGCCTGTCCCCAACCACCATTTGCTGAGCCTACCACCCGTTTGTCCCAAAGACCTGAGAGCTTCCAGTGGGAGCTCAGTTCAGTCCGTGCTCCGAGCCCCCCAGGCCCGCTCACCTTAATTGCACTGCCCTACTGATGCTTCTACTAGCCCAACCCTAAGATACACACTTGCACACACATATCCAGCAGCAGAAGGCGGCTTGTCCAGCTTCCTTCCAGGCTCCCAGTACATGGGCTGGCATCCTGTGGCACCTGTAACACAGGTTCCCTTGTGAATGAGCTGCACCGATATCTTGCAAAGAGGCACCTGCACCCCCACTTCCTGATGGCTGCCCCTGAACCAAGGGCCAGGGCTCAGCCTCTGACCTGGGTGGCGGTGTCGGGGTGACTTGGAATACATACCTGGCCCTCTCTGGGAGCCAGCCGGATCACTGAGGCACTGTAGGGGAGGAGGAGGCCACGTCACATGTGTGTTTCTCAGCTCTGAGAGCAAAGCCCAGAAACCAGTACACATGTTGGACAAGACAGGGTCATTGCTCTCAGAGCCACCGCATGGCCCAGGCCAGCACAGTCCCAGCTGGTTCCCTGCCTCCACCACCCTGGGCCCTGGCCCTGTGGGCTCCTCACCTCGTACTTCTAGGCGGCACTCACACTGTGCCTCGCCTTGTAAGTTGGTGGCCCTGCAGACATAGATGCCCCCATCAAAGGGGCAGGTCTTTCTGATCTCCAAGGTCAACACTCCCTGCTTGCTGAACATGCGGAAGCGGGCATCTTCTCCCAGGTCCAGGCCATTCTTGAACCAGGAAACCTTGGGCTGTAAATCAGGTAACGGGAGGGAGGGAGACCATCTCAGGTTGACAGGAGACCTGGCAGGAACCTGTTTGTATTCTAGGGGCTCCCGCTGGAATCCAAACTATGCCTAAGCAGGGAATGAACAGGGAGCCAATGGAGAGTGCTGAGGCCCTGCTCAGGGAGAGGAGTCCGGCCCTGCGCCCCTGGGCAGTAGAAAGCAGGGAAAGGCTGGGGAGAGGACCGATGGAGGTTGGAGCCTCCAAACCCTGCCTCCTGAGTCTGCCTGGACCAGGATCCCAAACTGTCTACCTTGGGGCTACCCCGGACAGCACAGCAGAGGGTAGCATTGTAGCCAGCAATGACTGAGCGGTTCACCAGAGGGCGAGTGAAGCTCGGGGCCTCGGAGAAGTCCAGGGCCTTGTAGTTGGGTGGCTCATATGTGATGCCTGTGGGTGATAAGACTTTGCACCAAGAGTGCCACACCACGCTAGGCCCCCTCCCTGCTCCTACCGCCTCCCTGCCCCAGCTCCTCCTGGGGGTGGGAGTAAAGGTACAGCACCTGATCTGGGGATAAAGACAGGCTCCTTGGTGGTGGCCGCGTTGTCACTGGGTCCCACCGTGTTATGGCTGAAGACCCGGAAGTAGTAGCCGTTGCCAACGATGAGCTCCGAGATGACACAGTGAGTGCGACGGTAATGTTCCAAGACAGTGAACCACTCCTGGGGGTGTGGAGGAAAGAGAGGGTCTCTGGGGGTCAGGCCCTACTCCCTGCCAGGGGCCTCTTTTGGGTACCCCTGGTGTCTGTACCCCAACTGTGGAGGGACCCAGATCAGAGAGGAAGGATGAAAAGCAGACCCATTCTAAGGTCAGGGGAGGAAGCTGGTGCCCAGGTGTGCCCGGCCCTGGGGAGGGTACATATGGGGCGCCCAGAACCCCAGGCTCACCATGGTCTTCTTGTCAGCTTTCTGTACTGTGTAACCCAAGATCTCTGTGTTACCATCATCTTGGGGTGGCTTCCACTCCAGAACCACATTGAAACCCCATGCCTCAGTGACCCGAATATCCTGGGGAGGGCTTGGCTTGTCTGCAGGAGAGAGACCAGCCGGAACAGACCTCCTGAGACTGCTGGAGTATGAACAGAGGGCCCTGGGAGGCCCCCTCACCCCCGCCAGCCTGGACCTGGCCTGCCACCTTCTGCAGGGTCTCTGGGCATCTCAGAGAGGGGGCCCCAGTGCCACGCACCAACGACCCGCAGGACCAGCGTGGCCTTGTCCTCCATGTTCTCGATCCGCAGCATCACCTCGTAGGTGCCAGAGTGGGAGCGGCGAGCAGCCCGGATGAACAGGATGGTGTCCGTGGGGCTGTTGCGGATGCTCACCTCCTCGCCTGCCAGTGGCTGCCCCTCTTTGGTCCAGGTCACCTGAGGCCGGGGCTTGCCCTGCAGGGAGGGACAGCTCACCCCCAAGCCTGGCACGACTGGGTGGCATCTCAGGGTCTGGTCAGCCCCTGAAACTCCTCTACCCGCTAGGCAAGGACGACACACCAGGGCACAGAGAGGGGGACCAGCCCTACCTGGAAAGGAATGAGGAGGTTCACGGGCTCCCCGACCTTCCTCTGGATGGTCTGGCGCAGGTGCCGGGGCACCTGGAGCCGTGGCCGCTCTGCGGGTGCCAAGTGGGCAGCTCAGCAAGGGAGGGCTCAGCCCTGGGGAGCGCTACAGCTCCTCCCCTCCCGAGGCAGGGCCCAGAAGGCTATGGCTGAGGAAAATGCCCCGCCCTCAGCTCTCCCTATCCCAGCCCCAGATGGTCTACGGAACCCCTGCTTCTATCTCCACCTCACCACACCGCTGTAAGAGGCAGGGATTGGAGAGGGTGAGCAACTTGTTTGAGGTCACGCAGCTAGGAAGTCACAGGCCAGGATGCAAATGTAGACTTTTGGACTCTATCCCTGTCCTGCAGACTGTTTCTGCCCCAGTCTGCTGCCTCTTTCCGCTTTGAGAACCAATCTTTACGTGATTGATCCTTTGCTGGGAATAGAGGAATGGGGAGTGGATCCCAGATGGCCCAATGACGCTAAATTATGAACACGGGGACAATACCTACCTGTTGAACTGAGAGGCTCAGAGAACAAAACTCAAAGGCCTACATTTTCCCTGTCCCAGAACTAGGGGTTGATGCAGAAAAGCCCAGGGAACCCTCTCCGAATGTTTGCCCTGGGCCTGGGGCGTGAATAAAGGCTCAGACTCTCCTGTCCCTCTCTCCAGTAGGGTCTCCCGGGATGTCCCCACTTCCACCGACCCCAACGGCCAGGATGTCAGCGGCAGGTCTGTCCTGTGACTGCGCAAGGGCCACTCACGCAGTATCTCCTGCACCGTCACAGGCTCCTTGGTGGCGATGGGGGCCCCGGGCCCCGCCATATTGTGCGCCCGCACACGGAAGAGCAGCCGGGCCCTCGTGGGCAGGTCCTTCACCAGCAACGAGGTGCGTTCTGTCAGCCCCTCCAGGGCAGCTACCCACTCCGAGCCTGGCCGGGGAAGCCCATGGGCAGCATCAACATCAAGGGCCCGCCCCACTGCCCACCCTCCAGTGGCTGTCTGGGGCTTCTGCCATAAATAGGGGTCGAACAGGGTGACAGGTGCCGGTCCGAGGGGGGCAATTCAGAGGAGGGTGCTGGGTGAGGGTCCGGGGCTGGGCAGGGGCACTCACAGCCCTCCCGGCAATACTCCACGCTGTAGCCATCCAAGCCTCTGGCTCCCACCCGCTCTGGGGGCCGCCACTTGAGGGAGACGGTGGTGTCTGAGACATCCTCCACGGCCAGGTGGGTGGGCTCACTGGGGGGGCCTAGGCAGAGGCAGGGTCAGAGAGGGGTCTGAGTGAGCCTACACCACTGGGGGAAACGGAAGGGCTCTGACCCAGACCCTCAACTGGCCACCGGTCACGCAGGGACACTTGCCCTTAGCCTGGCTTATTCGAGGGCTGTCAGAATTATTTCAGCTCCCACTAAAAGACCTGTCTCTAGATAGGCTTACAAACAAACACAGCAATTACAAAAGAGAGCCTAGGGCCGCCTGGGTGGCTCAGTCGTTAGGCAGTAGACTTCATTTCCGCTCAGGTCATGGTCTCACGTGAGACTGAGCCCCACTTCAGGCCCCACGCTGGGCATGGAGCCTGCTTACGATTCTCTTTCCCTGCCTCTTCTCTCCTTCTCAAAAAAAAAAAAAAAAAAAAAAAAAAAAAAAAAAAAAAAAAAAGAGCGCTAAATAGGAATAGATACCCAAAAGAGCACAAACATGCTTAGAAGGAGCCCCTTCTGTCAGACAACACAGGAAATGCTATAAATGTAAGTTAAAGAAAAACTAGCTGAAAACGAGATTTCCTGGCACTGTATGATCAGGCGAGTTGACTAACAGCTAATAGTTGACTGACTGGAAGCCAGTCTCTAAAGAGAGAGGCCTGGACCCTTCTCCCCACAGTCCCCCCCACCCCCACCCCTTGCCTCCATCTCCCCAACCGTGCTGGGTCCTTGGGCAGGGGGTGGCTTCTGCCCATGCCACAGACAGCCACCCCCCCCCCACTCCCACATCCTGGTAGGGACAGCTGTCTTTGAGAGCCTGACACACCTGTCAGCATCCCTTCCACCCTCTCGACCCCCGTGACTCAGATGAGGAAATGGCGACTTCAGGGCAGTGACCCCAGATGGCCCTCCTGGGGGTGGTGGAGACAGACCCACGCCTCTTAGACCCCAAGGCGCCCAGTGCCCTCACCCTATCCCATATACGACAAATCCTGCTTGAAGGGAGTGGGGAAGAGGGGACAGTTAACATTTATTGAGCACCTGCTGTATGCCAGATGTTCTGCCTGCGTTATCTCATTTCACCCTAACCTCAGTTCCATGAAGTAGATACTGTCATTATCCCCATTTTACAGATGTGGAGAGTGAGGCCTGAGAGGCACCAACAGAGTGGTGAGAGGCTCAGCTCCACCCCTACCAGCTAGGTGACCTTGAGCAAGTCTTCTAACTTCTCAGAGCCTCACTTCCGTCCTCTGTGAAATGAAAAGGATTATCCCCGAGGGAGCCTTTTAAAAGGGACCCGGATGTAAATGCCTAGTGGGGTGGCCGCCCACAGAGCAGCTGCTTCTGACCAGGGAGGGCGTGGGGCAGTGCCAGGCCAGGCAGGCTCACCAATAGGCATGAAGGGCTGGGAGGCAGGGCTGGGCCTGGACATGCCGATGGCATTGACCGCGTAGACTCGCATCTCATACACCACGCCCTCAATCATGCGCCGCGCCTCGTGGCTCAGCTCCCGCAGCAGGTCAAAGTTCAGCCGCATCCACCGGAAGCTCTTCTTCTTCTTGCGCTCCAGGATGTAGCCTGATGAAGGAGAGACAGGAGCTCTGGTCTGGGGCCCAGCCTGCCCCACAACCCCGGCCCTGAGCTCTATCCCCGTGCCCTGCACTCACCCAGGACTGGCTGCCCCCCGTCGTAGGCAGGCGGCTCCCACTGCACGGTGCAGGAGTCCTCACCCACATTGCTGATCTTGGGGGCCGCGGGGGGATCTGGCACATCTGGAGGGATGGACCCACATCAGCCCCGCCCAGGGCCCAGGGCCAAGGCTGCCTGCCCCCACCACCCCACAGATGCTTCCAGAATGCACTTCTGATCGTGTCACCAGCCTGTGACCAATGCTTTTCATGGCTCCCCACTGCCCACATTCACCCCATGTCCTCATCCCAATCCTCTCCATGGAGCTGAGAGCATGCCCGTGATGTTTGTCACGTGGCTAAACGAGTAAATGGACGGGCCTCCCTGGTGGCCCCAGGCCAGCCAGCCTCACCGATGACCTTGACCGTGAGGTTGACCTGGTCCTCGCCCACAGGGTTCTTCACTGTGACAACGTAGACACCCTCGTCTTCCTTCTCTGCCCCCTCGACAGTGAAGATGCTGCGGTCCTTGGTGGTCTCCACCCGCACCCGGCCCTCGGTCTCACACAGCAGCTGGGGTGGGGGGGAGGGGAAGTGGGGGAGAAGGGCCAAGTCAGACACCACAGGCTTTGACAGCCCGTGCAATGGCCAGAGATAGGAACAGAACTCCGCACGGGGTCCCGGGAGCAGATGTAGCTTGAGTGGAAACTGCACTCTTGTGAGCACCGAGTCCAGACAGCTTTGTTTAGCGCTCGCCGTGGGCAAAGCACTGGGGCCAGGGGCTTGGGCTCTAGGTCTGGCTTTATCACGGAGCTTTAGGCAATCACCGATTTTCTCTGTGCCTCAGTTTTCTCATCTGCCAAATGGAAATCACATGACCTTACAGAGCTGAGGATCCCGAAAGACCTCAGGTGGGTGGAGGGGTCAACTGTGCCTGGAGGAGGAAGAGCTGACCCGAGTGGTGCCCAGGCAGCTGCTCTGACAGAAAAGTGCCAGAGAAACCCCCTCTCCAGTCGGGAAGAAGTACAAAGTCAAGGTCGGCCCAGGGAGACAGGAGCCTTGGGAACAGCCCGGTCATGAGGGCTTCCCAGCAATGTTCAGGGAACTCGTGCCTGACCGAGGCATGAGGATCCCACGTAGACCATGCCTGGGGCAGGAACACAGCTGGCCAGATGTGGTGGCTTCACGGAGACCTCACCAAAGGGTGGAAACCGTGTAGGCAGAAAATCACGGGAGGCAAACGAGCTGGATCCCACCATCAGCCTCACTCACCTTCTTGTCAAACACCCACTCATCACTGTCACCTGCATCCTCCCCTGGGGCATCCAGGGATGGCCCTGCTGGGACCTTGTTCTTCTGGGAACAGAGCCGGAGGGAAGCAGGGGGAAGAGGGGCTGACTCAGCCTGGAGGGTATCATCCCTGCCCAGCGGCCCCTCTGGCCCCCCTTTGCCCACCCACATTCTGCTGCCCACCTTGCCCGCCTCCCAGCCAGCTGAGCCTCTACACTCCCAGTGGGTAGCCAGTTGTAGGGTGTGCACTTGTGGGGTGGGGTGGGGAGCCGATGCCAACACCCATTGGTCCCACGCACCCATTTTACAGATGGGGAAGTGGAGGAGGGATCCACAGTACCTGTGTGAGGGTCTTCTGCCAAATCACAGTGGGAGCAGGGTCCCCAGAGATAGGGACATCCAGGCGTAGCTTGTTCCCAGCCACAACCACAATCGTATCCGGCTTGCGGCCCGGGCAGTCCAGGTGGATCTTGGGAGGTTCTGGGGGGGAAATGGCATAGGTCAGAAAAAGGGGCAGGGGCCCAAGCCCCACGAAAGAGGCAGAAACTGGAAGGAGTCCATGCCCCTGGTGGTTGTTTTTTAATCAATTCGACTGACATAATTTCCATTCAAGAAGATGCCAAGATTTGAGCATACGGCTCGATGAGGTGTCACAATTGTATACACCTGTGCAACCACCACCAGGTCAAGATCTAAGACCTTTCCATCCCCCCAGGAAGTTCCAGGGAGGTTTGTAACACCGGGTCGCCTACTGTAGCATTTCTCAGACTGCGCTTAGGAGGAACACCAGTGTCTTGCCAGAAAAAAGAAAAAGAAGTTTCCGCGGCCAAATCGATGAGGAGGCCCTGGATTAAACAAAGTTAGCACATTTCTTCACCACAGGATTTTCCAGAGCCTTTGAGATGCTTCTGAGTCAGCAGGAGGTGGCCCAAGTGTTCAGTGATTCTCAAACTGACTTCATGGAACCCTTTTTGTTTCCCCCCTAAATTCTCAGGTTAGTTAACATACAGTGTGGCCTTGGCTTCAGGAGTAGAATCCAGTGGTTCATCACTTACATATACCTTTTTTAATGCTTTTTTATTTTATTTTATTTTATTTTATTATTATTTTTTTTTTTGAGAGAGAGAGAAAGTGTGCGTGTGCAAGCGGGGAAGGAACAGAAAAAGTGGGAGACAGAGAATCCAAAGCAGGCCCAGGCTCTGAGCTGTCAGCACGGAGCCTGACACGGGGCTTGAACTCACAAACCACAAGATCATGACCTGAGCTGAAGTGGGACGCTTAACCGACTGAACCACCCAGGTGCCCCTCCAACCACGGAACCCTTTTTAAATTTTTTTTTTAACGTTTATTTATTTTTTGAGACAGAGAGAGACAGAGCGTGAACAGGGGAGGGGCAGAGAGAGAGGGAGACACAGAATCGGAAGCAGGCTCCAGGCTCCGAGCCGTCGGCACAGAGCCCGACGCGGGGCTCGAACTCCCGGACCGCGAGATCGTGACCTGAGCCGAAGTCGGACGCTCAACCGACCGAGCCGCCCAGGCGCCCCTCCAACCATGGAACCCTTTTTAAATGGAGTATCCCTATTCAATGAATGAACTTAGTTTGGAAAGCCCTGGCCTAGAGCATGCTTCAGCCCGGACTACCCTCCGGAAGTTAGGATAAATGCTTGATGTTTAATGTAAAAGAAGGAGGGGTACTTCTGAAAGCAGAAAATTAATGATGAAACCTCACATCTTCTCGTCTCATCTTTCCTACACCCCGTGGAGGAGGCACGTCAGGATTCCCACTTCAGAGAATAGGAAACTGAGGTGCATAGAGATTATAACTGGCCCATGGTTCTGACTGACAGAGCTGGGGCTTGGGTCTTGAGGTCCCCACTCCAGCTTCCTTGCTCTTCCCTCTGTGAATGGAGAGGGACATGGGTGGAGTGGGCATGGGGGGGAGGTCCCGCGACTCACCTTGCCTGGGCACGAAGTCAATCTTGACCTCTGCAAGAGAAGGGAGAGCATGCGGCACGGGGCTGGGCACAGGCAGAGCCCGGCGACGGGGCCCCCACCCGGCCCGGGCGCCCGCTCACCCATGAAATGGAGTTTCGCTGACAGGTTGCAGGCGAAGCCCTCGGGCACGAAGCTGTAGTCCGCCTCGTCGGCAGGCGTGACGTCGTCAATGGTCAGTTTGTGGACTCTGCAGGGATGTGGTGGCTCAGGGGAGCCCACTGGACCACACACCCCAGTCTCGTGGTAGTCAGGGCTCCAGAGGGCCCCTGCCCCGCCTTAGCTCAGTGGGGTGCTGGTATTTTAAATGCTTTCTCGGGGCGCCTGGGTGGCGCAGTCGGTTAAGCATCCGACTTCAGCCAGGTCACGATCTCACGGTCCGTGAGTTCGAGCCCCGCGTCGGGCTCTGGGCTGATGGCTCAGAGCCTGGAGCCTGTTTCCAATTCTGTGTCTCCCTCTCTCTCTGCCCTTCGCCTGTTCATGCTCTGTCTCTCTCTGTCCCAAAAATAAATAAACGTTGAAAAAAAAAAATTTAAATGCTTTCTCTATTTTTGACTTTCTAGCTCCCTCGCGTGTTTTCAGAGGTAGGCAATGTACACGTGCCCCTTGGCTGGGCCTTTAGAGACTGATCGGGGGCTGCTGTCACTAATCTCTGTGGCCTTGGACCCAGCACGGGCCGGTGCAGATGCTCGAGGCATGAGTAAGAGAGTGGGAGAGAGTGAGGGCCCTTGGCCAGAGCTGGCCTGCCTGCCTCCTGCCCTGCCCTGGCCATGACCCGCGGGGAGGGGGCCGGGGGAACTCCCAGCCTGTCTGTCTCTCTCACTACTTCTCTCTTTCTGTCCTCTGCCTCTGCAGGGTTCTCTTCTGTATGCTCCCGTCTCTCGCTCTCTCTCTGTCTCTCTGTCTCAGTCTGTGCCCTGTGTCTATTTGTGTGTCTCTTCCTGTCCCTCTCTGTCTCACTGTCTCTCTGTCTCTCCCTGTTTTTCCCTGTCTCCCTATGTGTCTCTAGTGTCTGTTTCTCCCTCTGTCTCTCTCTCTCTGTCTCAGTCTCTGCTCTCCCATCTGCCTGCCCCCCTTTGCATCGGGGCCCAGCTCTGCACACTCACCGCCCAACGTGGGACGCCTTGACGCGGCTGTCGGGCACCAGCTCCTTCCCGTTCTTCAGCCACACGCCCCGCACGTTCTCATCGGACACTTCACACTTGAACACCGCCTGGTCCTTGGCACCCACGGTCAGGTCTGCGATGCTCTGGTACACCTCCAGCTTTTTCTCTGGGGGGCGGAGGGCAGGGCAGAGCCAGTGAGCCGGGGAGGGTGTGTGTGGGTGTGGGCGTGAATCGGTGTGGAGATCACACGGGCATGTGAAAACCCGAATGTGCACGCGTGAGTGTGATTCATGTGTGCCTGCGATGATGGGACGGGGTGCACGAGGAAGCTCAAGTGTGCGTGTGGTGCGGGGCGACACTGACCAGGCCCATCTGGCCCTCCCAGTAGTCTCTGAGGTGGCCACCTCGGCACCCCCATTTTACAGATGAGAGTGGCGAGGCTCGATGTGTCAGAGTGACCTGCCCAAGGTCACACAGGCCTCCATCCTGGGTTTGCCCGATTCCCGAACACGGCCGGGGGTGGTGCTGGGGCCGAGGGCGCCCAGGGCCTTGCAGCCTCCCGTGCTCCC